CAAAGAAAACAAAACTAAATGTAGAAAAATGACCAGAACGCCTCGAGGTCATGTTAGAATTTTAATATATCGAACGTGGGCTATTATGAAAGCTGCTATAACAATCGAAGTACGCGGAAACTAGTGATTGCGAAATGGGTTCAAACATCATCTACCGTAAAATTCCGAAAATAAGCCCCGGGGCTTATATTTTTCAAAGGCCCTTTTTGAGGGGTTTATTTTTGGAGGGGCTTATATTCGGAGGGAAATTTGCGTTTCAAAATCGATTGGGCTAGCCTTATAATTGGAAGTAAATTTACCGTTTTGCCTTGTTTTAATTTGTATTTGAGGGCAATTTTCCAAGTACAAGCCCCCGGGGGACTTATATTTGGAGGGGCAATTTTACGGAGGGTTTTTTGTGTTACCGGTTTGGGGGGCTTATATTTGGAGGGGCTTATACATGGAGGGGCTTATTTTCGGAATTTTACGGTATCTGTAGGAATAATACCTATCACAGAAACCCAGTGGGGAGGGGGATTTCAAGTGAAGTGGATGAACGAATGGGGGCAAAAATCAAAACCCAAACAAATCCTTAGGGTTTCAAACAAAACTTCAAAAAATCCCCCAAAAAATCCAGTGACGAATTTCCAAGCCATAAAAATTTCCAGAACGCAACAAATGATATAACTATCACGAATCTTCAGATTGTTTTGAATACCCAAAAAATCCCTACTTAAATCAAGCTTCCCAAACTGAAAAATACCTGCCAAAATTTTTTCCTACCCAACAAAATCCCGAAATCGAAAATTTCAAACCCCCCAAAATCCTTCGATCATCCCTGTCACTCGAAATCATGCGGAGTACCCACTTGCCTGGGCACAGAAAGCTACTTATGTCTTCCAGCAGACCCACTTCTCTTGGTCCGTGTCGACATAGCCTGTTCCAGGCGTTCGGACAGTGGAGTGTGGTACGAAGTAGGAGAGTGGGAAAACAAGAAAGGAGGATGAGAGGGCTCTCACCCCCCAACCACACCCCCTCGCTGTTTTTTTTTTTGTCTACTCACATCTCTTTCCCCATGAAAAAAAATACACTTGTTTCACAGCCTGTCAATACCTAGTAGGTGTCTGAAAAGAAATCGACTGCAGAACAGGAGCCAATTTTTTTTTTGCGCTGTTTACGCCATCACTGGGAAGCGGACTTGGAGTGCGAGACACGCGCAATGCATGGAGAAAAAGTTCTGCAGGCTATAAAAGAAATTAAAAATATCAAATAAAGCAAGCCTGTTTCTATTTCTATTTCGATGAGTCTATTTCTTGAAAAATCGTATTTAAATTCGTGACAGTATGCTAACGTGACTTAAGCGTGTGACCGCTCTCCAGTCACACGCCAAAGGTCATGCGATTGTGTGCGATGTTTATTCAGTCTACTGACGAACGATTGAAGGGATGAAAGGTTTTCAAAATCGAAGTCACTAGTTGGTGGTAAATTTTCATTCCTTTTTGTCTCCCGAATGAAGTAAACTCTTGTAACTCTTGCTTCTAAAGATCTAAAGGCCGGCAGTGATGTGTTGTAACTTTATTTTGATCCACGGCCGGATTGCTCGGACGCAGTTGCTGAACAAACATACGTTTGTCGTTTGGCTTAAAAGTATGGTTTTTGTGACTCAAAACGACACAACTGGAATTGGAAATAACCTTCGTCGCTATGAAAATGTGTTACAAGCGATGGTGAGTAATCTAGGCTTTTTTACATTATGCTAGCATTTTTTTCGAGCATTATAGTGAGGCAAAAGCATTGAGCATTATTCGAGCATTTTAGTGGCATTTTCCCCGGAAAATTAATTTTTTCCGAGAAAATAAAATAGAAATTAACTTTTTTCAGGAACCCATGCCCCATGAGCTCCTGCTTTTTTAAAGAAAATTAAGACTAAAACTCAAAATTCACAAAAAACTTAATACAGCTGTTTCTTTTAGCTGTATTTATGAACTTGTACACGTTGTCGTTGTTACTTGCAACACTTGCACGTTTTTGTAAGTGTAAACTTTAAAATTAATTTAAAAAACCGTTTGTATAATGAGCATTATCCGAGCATTTTAGTCACTTTTTTGGGGAGACCGAGCATTTTAGTGGGAAAAATGGAGCATTAAGGTGGAGCATTTTAGTGGGGAAGCAAAAGCATAATGTACAAAAGCCTAGAGTAATCCTTTCATGTAAAACTTTTGTTTTGGTTTGGCAACCGTCCGCAAGCTGTCTAATTTGCATAATTTTTCCCTATTCAATAACTCTCACCGCTTACTTTGGTGTCAGGATGGTATTTGATTTCCAGAGCTAAAACTTTCCAGTAATTTAGTACAAAAGCCAAGCTACCATTTTATGTTGATTTTATGATCAAGCGGCATATACCAGATGCCTTTTATAATAGTCAAAGTTAACCTTCATTTTCTAGCATGTCCAACGTCACAAATATGACCTCTTTAGACTTGTCGATTATAAAAATTTAAAACGTTCTTTTTTAAATTTTCTTTTAGGAATTTAAAGAGTAAGAACGAAATAATTATTGGCTGAAGTTTCAATATCAGGGAATGTTTGTCACGCGTTCATTCTTCTCTCGAAGTTGCCGTCGCATGCTGCCGTGTTTTGTGCGAAAAATAGGCTTAAAATCGATTTTTCAAACTTTTTCTAATTTCTCCTTTAAAATGAATCGTTTGAACCCAAAACTATTTTTCCTTAAATTAGGTCACTAAACGGGATGTTTTGGCGGAAGAATAAAAAATTCGATTTTTTGACGAGTTTCTTGCGATTCTCGATTTTCTCAGAAAATGGCTCTTAAAAGTGGAACATTTGGCTCAGAATTCTTTTTTTGTGAACCATTATGTGTCACAGAAGTTCCCGCATCACTGAAAATACATTGTAATAATTTATGCATTAGGTTCGGTACATGAAAAGTTCGGCGTCTGAATCAAAGCCGTTCCAAAGTCGCTTCAAAGGCGAAATTCCCGGCCGGGCTAGGCGAAAAGAACGGCTAAGCCATTCCAAATTGAAACAGGCGTTCGTAATTGATTCAGACGCCGAACTTTTCATGTATTTAATTCAATGTATTAGGTTCGGCTCATGAAAAGTTCGGAGTCTGAACCGGGCCTAACGGATTCATTTTTCAAATAATCAATTAATTAATAGAATCTTAGTTGGTACGCTTGACCTGCCTCGACTGTAAATTTAATCTGTTTAGGAGTAAGTGCTGTCTAAAGTCGTTAAGTACCGTCTCTATCTAAATCAACGAAAGCTCCATTGAAGAAGCCCGCTCTTTCCAACACTTAGGTGTAACACTTCAGGAGTAAAGATCTGTCCCGGGATAATCACGTTAAAAATATATTATGAGCAAGACAAACCCGGCAGCGACTTGGACTTCTTAGAAGAATCAAGCATTTTGTAACATTACACACTCGGTTGACACCTTAATTTTCATTCTCTAATTCTCCCTCTAGTCTGGCAGCATTTGTACTCCCGTGGGAAGTCCGTGCTGAAAGCAAGCAACTGGTCTAGAAGTATTAAGAAGACCCCAAATAACAAGAAAAATCTTGTTGCCAGCTTTTTAACCCGCACTGAGGCTTTTCAGGGGGGGTTAAAAAATTAGCCTAACGGATTATGCATGAAAACGAGGTTGGGAAATAAAATGTCTCAAAACTTTACAAACTGAGGATAAAAGGACACCAAAATAACAGGAGATGTAAAACTCGATGTTGACAGTTTTATCCACAGCCAATGGGACACTTCACTAGTCACGTGACAAACCTAGCATGAAAACGAGGCTGATAAATAAAACTTCTTATACCTATATTAACTGTGGATAAAACAAAACCAAAATAACGGGAGACATACAACTCATGTATGTACATGTTTCCAGTGTTTGCCAGTGTTAGCCTAAGCCAATGGGATACGACACTAGTCACGTGACGAATCTAATATGAAAATGAGGCTGCGAAATAAAACTTCTTTTATAGCTCTTTTAACTGTCAATAAACTAAAACCAAAATAACGTGGATATAAAAAGCAATGTTGTGAGTGGTTGCCAAGCCAGTGGGATGCTTCCACCGGTCACGTCACAAAGTTAGCATGAAACCGAGGCTGAGCAATAAACGTGTTATAACGCCATGAACTATGGATAAAACGAAACCAGAATGACAGGAAATATGAACCTCAATGACGTCAGTTTTGGCCTTAGGCAAACACTTACTCACTAGTGGCTGAATTAGGTATTCTTTGGGATATCACGTGTATAATCACAATCAGACTAATCATGTAATAGCCGAGAATTAGAATTAATGAAAATAAAATTATCTTTCTGTGCAAATTTGGTGTGCACATCTAAGCGAAAATCCAAAGTCTCTTCCAGGTCCATGAGGTCAATAATTTTACACTCTAAAATATCTGGCCCCGAGTAGTCTGCTCTTGGAACATATATATATAAAAAAGATACGTGAATCGAATCATTCAAGTAATTGAAACTCATGCATTACAATTAAGAAGATCTATTAAGTCGTCACTGGCAATTAAATATAGAAGGAACTTCCAAGTAAAAGAACAGTAAATTAATAAGTAAAACAGGAGGAGTAGCTGCGCAAAGTAGACAGATTCGGAGCAAGGCAGACTTTTATATAAATAGCATTGTACTATATCACAATTAGAATTCTGCTGCATAAGAGCCCGGGGCGAGAGACGAATACATTTTTGCTTAGCCGAGAAAAGAAAAGCGTAAAATATGATAGGGGTAGAAGAACCGGATGGCAAATAACAATAACACAGATATCGAAAAAAAACCCCTAAATTTTGGTAAGGTTTTCCAGTTTGATCCAACCTTGATAGCTCATTGTTATATTTCGTATTATTATTATCATCATCATTAGCATATTCATCATCATCATCATCATTATTATTATTTTGGTGAATAACAAAAACAAATACCTAATTTCATACAACGTGGTTATAGTCTATTGTTCTCTTTTCAGGAGATGAAACTAGTTCTATATAAACCCGCAGAAAAAATGCCGCTGATTGCGTTGTTCCTGTGTTTTGCAGTCCTGACAGTTCACAGTGAGAATTCCGATATTCCTAGTACTTTGCATAAAATATATCTACATGTACCACTGTAACAATTTTACGAGTTCACAACAAGATTTAAAATTGGATCAGTTAAGTTTTGGTTTACAACTGACGTTACAAGGCGATCATGTTGGGTGACGGGTTGTTGACAAGAAGGGGACTTTGCATGAAAAAAATAGTTTAGTTACTAACAGGGTAACCTCTGTGTTTTTTTGTGCCAACCAACGTGGCAGCCGTGACGTTAGCTGCAAACCATAAATATCGTCTTGAGTCAGTGAAGCTTGGTGTTACTAATATTCCAACGTTCCTGCACGACCTACAATGAAGTTATACCATCCTAAGTGTTATTTCAAAGTAATATCATTATAACAAGACCATTCATTTGTCTTCTCTAACCAGCCACGACATCATCACCAACTGTTTGCCCTCAGAAGACAACATCAGGCAAATGTTGCAGTATTCCATTCAAATACAGGGGAGTGACGTTCAATTCTTGCACTTCTGCTGATTATCACAGACCCTGGTGCTCCTTGGATCCTGTGTATAAGGGGAGATGGGGCAACTGCAGTAAGTTTAATTTGACTCAGCTAAAGCATGACTTAAGTGTGTATTTCAAAGTTACATTATCATTATATCAAAAGCATTCTGTGTTTTGTTTCATAGCGTTACCAGTCACCAGAACGTCACCAACTGTTTGCCCTCAGAAGACAACATCAGGCAAATGTTGCAGTATTCCATTCAAATACAGGGGAGTGACGTTCAATTCTTGCACTTCTGCTGATTATCACAGACCCTGGTGCTCCTTGGATCCTGTGTATAAGG